TACTGTTATGAATCGTAATGTAAATATCTGACATGCAGGATGTATTTTCATTGTTACAAATTGAACATAATTAAAGCATAGTGATTAATCACAAAAATAACATGTAATTATATATGTGTTTTCCAATGGTCTTAGGGGACCCCTGTGAAAGGGTCGTTCGACCCCCAAAGGGGTCGTGACCCACAGGTTGAGAATCGCTGCTAAGGGAAAGAAGCACCTAGAAGCTGCTCAAAGAAAACACCAAGCTGACAGTAAGAAGCTATGCCTCACAGAAACACAGTAAGTAAAAACAGCAACAACATAGTCACCCCTGGAAAGAGAGGAACTTTAACTGGATCTATCTTTTCATCTGCTATTAAATACAGAATTACTAATTAGAATATATGTGTCTGTAATTTTTCAATAGTTCAGAGCATTTCTATAACTTGAAATAAACTTTCATTTGGAAACTTAAAATTTAACTTGTTAGAATCAGTTAAGCTGAATATACTGACTAAATGTTTTTTCTATTTTTGTAGTAGACTTATTCCAGTCAAAATTATTAGTTGAGTAGAAAGAGTTCTTAAGCCCTTGTCATCAAGAGAGATATTTTTTTAAAAACAAAAACACCTTGCCGAAACCGGTTTGGCTCAGTGGATAGAGCATCAGCCTGCGGACTGAAAGGTCCCAGGTTCGATTCCGGTCAAGGGCATGTACCTTGGTTGTGGGCATATCCCCAGTAGGAGATGTGCAGGAGGCAGCTGATCGATGTTTCTCTCTCATCGATGTTTCTAACTCTCTATCTCTCTCCCTTCCTCTCTGTAAAAAATCAATAAAATATATTAAAAAAAAAACCTTTATTCTGGCTTTCCAGTATTTATATAGACATCATAAACTACAATCAGTTAAATTTTATAAATGTATGCTAGTACATTTTGATAACTAGTTGAAAACCTGAAGCTTGGTATTAATTTTATCTTTATTTTTGGTACATTTTCCTTCTAATTCTTCTATTAATAACTTGTGACCTAAAAACATTATCTATCATTATCCAAATACCAAGCATTCTTTGTGAGCAGAGTAGCACTGGCTATTTTTGATAAAAATGTTGAAAGTTCTCTTTTTAAACAAGCTCAATTTCTCCACTCTCAGATGCAATGCAGTCACAGCATACAGACTGGGGATAGCACCCCATTTCTGAGTACTTAACAAAGATATTCTTGTTCCAGCATCAAGCCAAGCTGGTTTGGCAACAGTTTTCATATTTATTGTGAAATCTTTTATAAAACCAAGTTATTCCTGTACTGCATTTGTTAATTACTGTCATCCTTCCCCACATATCATAACAAGTAATTTAACTTACTATAACTATAATTAGATACGAAGTCAGCAGCCTTCAGAGAAGGCTACAAAGTTAGTTTTTGCTATTGCAGTGTATTGACATCGACACTTAAAACCCAATTTCATTAGAGAACCAATCAAAAATTTCAAAGAACTAAGACAGCAGAAAGAAATGCTCTTTTGATCAAGTTGTGACAGGAAGCAATATCTAAACGCCTAGGCCATGTGACTTTATTCAATAGCACTCAAAAAACTCCAGTCCACAGTGACAGCAATAAAAGCCACCAGCAGCGACCTCTGCAGAAAGCGTTTTACTGAAATTAGACATTGTAACAAAAATCAATGACTTCAGTGAAATTTAATAAAGTCTAACATTACATTAAAATCCATTTCTATGCTTCATTATTTTCATTTCTGCTGCCTGCCTTGGAACTGCATCATAGAGTAAATTTTTAAAAAATTACTATGTCAGTATGAGAACTCGTATCAACTGGCTTTGTTTTTTAAAGAAGTGAGGAGCTTAGCTATCTGAGCATACCTCAGTACATGTGATCAGTTCAAACAGTATCCCTCTCTTAGGCACCCTTTTTTTCTTTCTAGGCATTTCAAAGCCTTCTACTAGGTTTCTCTTATTAAAAACACAGGAGAGCAGAAAAGACAGTGCAATGCAGAAGTTCAGAACACAGGCTCTGCTATAGGACTGCCAAGGCCCACAACCCAGATCTGACACTGTCAGCACGACTTGGGCAAGCTGCATGACCTCTTTGTGCTTCATTTTCATCTGAAAAAAATGATGAAAAGAGTACCTATCTCACAGTTTTTTGAGAGAATAAATTAGTTAATCCATGAAAAGAGCATAAAACAGTACCTGTTACACAGTAAGGGCTCAATATATATTAACTAATATTATTAAGACAGATTATTGACTGACTTTTTCTCCACTAGTGCCAAATGGACCGCAGCACAGAGAAAAAAACAACAACAAAATAACTGAGCGCGATTTTTAGACTGCCAAGTACAGGCCAGAAACTCACTCAAGATGTTCACAGCAATGAGAAAAGAGAATTTAGGTAATTACTAGACCCTTTCCGGGAATTCACAGGTTTTTCATATGTATTTTGTACTATATTAGACCATTTTATGATTAAACCATCTCTTAGAGTGGTTCACTCCCATCAGAGGAGGTCAAAATCAGCTGAGTTGTATTCCACCTGCTAAAACAAAATATGGGATAGACCCCAGAAATCTATTTTTAAAAAATAAACAGTTCCCAGCTGACTCTAATGTGCAGGCAATTTGGGACCCACTGATCTTGACCACGCTAAATGATCAATTTGTCCTTCAAAACTCCCTCACATACCTCAGATCTGCCTGTTAACCCACACAAATGTGTAATCATTTCCTGCCACACTGGTGGCCAACCTTGATTTACTTAAAAAAAAACAAAAAGTGGAAGTGGAGGGTTAATTTAAGAACAGTATTTTCATCATAGTTAAATTCTGCTCTGTTACTCTGCTGAAATTCAAAGTCTTCTAATTATAACTACTCAGGAGAACATTTTGGGTCTGCTAATGTCATGTCTTTAAATATAATAACAACACCTGATATTTGTCCAGACCTTTATGGAGTATTCTATCATTTTATGTCTTTAAAGCTTCCACGACACTGTCAGCATACAGAGTAGTTTTATATGAGGTATGAAATGGTTAACTGAGCCAGTGAAGACACAAGAAAAGCATATATTCTCTAACTTTCAGAACTGTTCTGTTTATCTATTTGCTTATTTTTTTTCTGAGAAAAACATTAGACAACCAAATACTGTCTAAATGCATGAAGACTAAACAGAAGGAGAGAACAAGTTCTGAGTACTATAAGTTCCTGCTATGAACTATACAAAAAACTGTATTTTTCCTTCAACATTTAATCATATATCATAAAATAAAAATATCTGGCTTCTTCCTATTTATAATAAACAAGACTGAAAAAATACATCTGAATGAGAAGTTAATCACTGAACTGTATGGAACCAAACACACCACAGAAATGAAGAGAAGTGTCCAGTCTATGGGAACCTGACTAGACAATGCCAGAATCAGAACAGGCAGATTCACATCATTAGCAGGATGTTTCTAAGAGTCAGAATCCTTTTAACCACTCTATTTTGTAATGGTCTAGACCAGTGGTTCTCAACCTTCTGGCCCTTTAAAATACAGTTCCTCAGGTTGTGACCCCAACCATAAAATTATTTTCGTTGCTACTTCATAACTGTAATTTTGTTAGTTATGAATTGTAATGTAAATATCTGATATGCAGGATGGTCTTAGGCGACCCCTGTGAAAGGGTCATTTGACCGCCAAAGGGGTCGCGACCCACAGGTTGAGAACCGCTGGTTTAGAGCGCTGTCAACTCTTTATATAATACTAGTGGCCCGGTGCACGAAATTCGTGCACATTGAAAGGGAATTAATTAGAGGAAATATTTTAATATTGCTATTTGCCCTTTCCTCAGCTGTGATGAGGAAGCTGGGGTGACAGCCACACTGTCCCCAGAAGCCTGGGTCAAACACTGGAGGGCCGCTTGGGGGCATGACTGGTGGTGAATTGCAGCCAGCCCCGATGTCCCGGTGGGAGAGCGGGTTGGGGGGCAGTGACTGCGGGCGGACAGCCACCCGCCAGACCCGATCTGCCTCGGGAGAGCGGGTTGGGGGGCGGCAACTGCGGGCGGACCGCTGCGGTCACGCCCGCCAGCCCTGGGTCGGGTCGCATACGGGTCGCCCGCCATCCAGGTCACAGATAGTAGGCCTGGATGGCGGAGGGGCAGGCAGGATGGCGCTGTCCCATCCTGCCTGCAGTATGCAAATTAGCCGCCATCTTTGTTGGCAGTTAATTTGCATATCTCAGTGATTAGCCAATGGGAATGGTAGCGGTTATACAGCTAATTACCATGTTTCTCTTTTATTAGATAGGATATTCAGGATGAATGGAATTAATTTTGAGAAGCAAATGCCTAGCTGGTATGGCTCAACGTCAACCTAAGAACCAGGAGGTCAAGATTCGATTCCAGGTCAGGGCACGTGCCCAGGCTGTGGGCTCGATCCCCAGTAAGGGGTGTGCAGGAGGCAGATGATCAATGATTCTCATCATTGATGTTTCTATCTCTCTATCCAACTTCCTTCCTCTCTATGAAATCAATTAAAAGTATATTAAAAAAATTTTTTTGAGAAGCAATAACATGAATACATTAACATGAATACAACTATAAGGAAGATCAATGGCATATTTTTTTCATTGCTCAATTTCAGGCTGCATAACACTAAAGTTCTAATAGCTAATTATTCTTAAAATGCATTTCTATAAAATAAAATGTTTTATAATTATTTTTGAAATACAAATTTTTATTAATTTCCATTTAATTCTGATAAAAGTATTAATCCAACTCATTTATTGCACTAAACGTTCTTACTAAAATGTAACAAATAGTGATAAAGATTGTATTCTTACAAAATAGTTGAATTTCAATGATAGAGGTTAAAAATGCCAGGAATGCAATAACAAAAAGCATGTTGCAGGACCAGTCTTGGAATCTTATTCACAACAGTGCTAGTAAAAATAAATAAAATATAACAGGTGTCCGCAAAAGCATCATAATAAAAAGATTAGCTTTCAATCTATGCAACTTACTGTAAAAAGCCAAATCTATCCGTGACTTTGTAAACAAGGTAATCAGCATCTTCCCAAGGTTCAATCTCTGCACCTTCTCGTCCCTATAATTGTGAACAAAGAAGGGTGTTATTAGAAATCTATAAACCTGAGTAATTTTTCAAAAAAAAGACCAAAATCAAGGAGTTCTTTTTTTTATGTATTAACAGTAAGAGCTAGAAATGAGGCACTATCCACTTAACTTTAAATATATATATATATATATATATATATATATATACACACACACACACACACACACACATACACACACGCAATATAATCACTATTTTCTAGTTACAAACTTTGGAAAATACTATATGTAGCTAACATGTAACTAAGCTTTTTTTGTTGTTTTTTTGTTAATCCTCACCAAGGATATTTTTCCATTGCTTTTTAGAGAAAGTGGTGGGAGGGAGGGATGGAGGGAGGTGAGAGAGAGAGAGAGAGAGAGAGAGAGAGAGAGAGAGAGAGAGACAAAACACTGATGTGAGAGAGAAACATCGATTGGTTGCCTCCTGTACATGCCCCGACAGGGACCAAGGATCAAACCTGGGACCGAGGTATATGACCTTGACTAGAAATTGAACTCTTCAGTACATGGGCCCACACTCTAACCACTGAACACACTAGCCAGAGCACATGTTACTAAGTTTTAATCAGACTTGGGTTCCTGTAAATACTGGGAAAGGAGGGAGCAGCAGAGGATACGAAAGTCACTCAAGAATGAGCCATCAAACTTTAAAATTTTAGAGTGAACCTGTCTTAGGAAAAAAAGTATTTCTTGTCTTTTCATCCAAACTTCTCACTAGAGTGGGCTATCCACCTTGTCTCTCTACTTCTTTACTTACAGATACATCAGCCCAGGAGTTATTCCTGCCAAAGTCATAAATAATCTCCCACTGTTAAAAACAGTGGACACTCTTCTAAGGGAGTTTTTCAAAGCAGTTAGCAGTGTTGCTCACTCCTTACTCCTCAGCCTCCATGGCACTACCTCTCCTGGTTCTCCTCATGCCTTTCCAACTCTTTTTTGGTGGCTTTTTCACAGTATCTCTTCACTGTTGGTGTGGCCATAACTTTGTCCTCAGCCACTGCTTTCTCATTCTTGAAGCTGTTAACACTTGGGTTGCGGGAAACGAGTTAAGTCGGCTCGCGTGAATTGCGCGTACTCCGCGGGAGCCGTCTTAAACTCGGTTCATATAGATTTGCGGTGGAGTGCGGGAAACGTGTAAACTCGGGCCGATTGTAATTGCGTATTACCAAATATTTCATTTCAATCGAACCCATACTTCAAAAGATATAGGCATTTTAACGCGCCATCTTATATTTTGGCGGGAAATTCACCCGACACCGTAGTGTTAACTAGCATTGTTGATGCAGGAACCCCAAATGTAGCTGTCTATACCAATGTTGTATGTGAGCACACAACAAACAAAGTAAGTATAATATACTAGAGGCCCGTGGCACGAAGATTAGCGCAATAGGCCTTCCTTCCCCTGGCTGCCAGCACTGGTTTTCCTCCGACACCCAGGACCCAGGCCTTTGGTCCAGCTGCAGCGGACACAGCGAGGCTTGGCTTCTCCTCTCGGGCTGCAGCAGCAAGGCTTGGATTCTCCGCTTGGACCACAGCAAGGTTTGGCTTCTCCGCTCAGGCTGCAGTGGAGAAGCCAAGCCTCTTCAGTCTTCAGTCATCTTCAGTCTTCGCTCCGGGCCCGCATATGCAAATTAACCACCATCTTTGATGGGTTAATTTGCATACTCATTCTGATTGGCTGGTGGGCGTAGCAGAGTGACACCAATTTGCGTGTTTCTCTTTTACTAGTGTAGGCTAGAGGCCCGGTGCACAAAAATTTGTGCACTCGGGGGGGAGGAAGGGGTCCCTCAGCCCGGCCTGTGCCCTCTCACAGTCTGGGACCCCTCAGGGGATGACCACCTGCTAGCTTAGGCCCACTCCCCAGGGGATTGAGCCTAAGATGGCAATCAGACATCCCTCTGGCAGCCCGGCAGCCCTCGGGGGATGTCCACTTGCCAGCAGGGAGCAGGCCTAAACTGCAGTCGGACATCCTTAGCGCTGCTGAGGAAGAGGAGAGGCTCCCACCACCACCGCTGTACTGGCAGCCATCAGCCTGACTTGTGGCTGAGCAGAGCTCCTCCCATGTGAGAGCTCACTGACCACCAGAGGGCAGCTCCTGCATTGAGCGTCTGCCCCCTGGTGGTCAGTGTGTGTCATAGTGACCAGTCATTCCCAGTCCTTCTGCTGTTAGGGTCAGTTTGCATATTACCCTTTTACTATATAGGATAGAGGCCTGGTACATGGGTGGAGGCCGGCTGGTTTGCCCTGAAGGGTGTCCTGGATCAGGGTGGGGGTCCCCACTGGGGTGCCTGGCCAGCCTGGATGAGGGGATGATGGCTGTTTGCAGCTGGTCACACAAGCTTCAGGGTGGGGGTCCCCACTGGGGTGCCTGGCAGTCTGGGTGAGGGGGTGAGGGGCTGAGGGCCGTTTTCAGGCTGGCCAGTGACTGAAGCTCCCAACCTCTCCTTTTTTTCTTTTTTCTTTTTTATTCTGGGATTTATTTACCTTCTATAGCTGTCACTGGAGCTGAGAGCCGGCTTTAGCTCTGAGGCTCGGCTCCAGCTCTGAGACCTCGGCTGCTGAAAGCAGGTATCTGGGTTTGTTTGGCTTCTATAATTGAAACACTGTTGCAACTCCATCTCTGAGGCCCGGCTGGCTGAAAGCAGGTTTCTGGGGTTTGTTTAGCTTCTATAATTGCAACATGGTTTCTTAGACTGCAGCTCAGAGGCTGGCAGCGGCAGGCGGGGAACCTTGTCTTCCTCCATCACTGGAGCAAGCAAGCCTCCTGTTCGCTTCAGCTGCCTGGCTACTGGCCGCCATCTTGGTTGGCAGTTAATTTGCATATCACCCTGATTAGCCAATGGGAAGCGTGTCAGAGGTACGGTTAATTACCATGTTTGTATATTATTAGATAGGATATAATAAGTGCTATGGTGAAAAGTAAATAAGAAAAGGGGATACGGAATATAGAGGGTTTTAAACAATGTGGTCAGTGATTTCACTAAGGTAGCATCTGGGTGATGTCTGAAAGAGGTAAGGTGAAAGAGGCATGAGCATGGTCAGGATCTGTGTGTTCTCAGCAGAAGAAATAGCCAATGCAAAGGCCCTGAGTGAGAAGCAAGCCTGGTGTATTAGAAAGCAGCAAGAATTTGGAGAGGTTGGTGCAGAGGGAAGGGAGGAGAGAACATTTGGAGATGAAGTCAGAGAAGGATGACCTCAATGGTCACATGAAGTAAACAAACTGGTTCTGTAATTTAAGTGCTCCAAAAAGCAAATCCTTTTCTATTTATATGTTGTTTTTATTAATAAAACTTACTCAAAGAGTAAATATGAATACTTACTCTGTCATATTTAGCAACTATTTCAGCTCGCTCCTGGGCAAGTTTGAGTGCTACATCCTGGTCAGAATCTGTGGAGAGATCAAATTTAGATGAACTATTATTTAAGGAATCATAAAGTTAATTAATTATAAAACTGATAAAACAGATACAAATAGAAGAAATCCATACTGCCTAAGATGACAAATCAGCAAAAATCAAATAAACTTAAAAGGATGAGTTAAGTGTCTGTAACTACAACCTTAAAATATCAACATATATATCATTTCAATATTATGTATAATATTGAAAAAAAAAGCAACTTTGTTAACATAGCATTAACTTAGGGCAGTGGTTCTCAACCTTCCTAATGTCACGACCCTTTAATACAGTTCCTCATCTTGTGGTGACCCCCAACCATAAAATTATTTTCATTGCTACTTCATAACTGTAATTTTGCTACTGTTATGAATCGTAATGTAAATATCTGATATGCAGGATGTATTTTCATTGTTACAAATTAAACATAATTAAAGCATAGTGATTAATCACAAAAACAATAAGTAATTATATATGTGTTTTCCGATGGTCTGAGGCAACCCCTGTGAAAGGGTCGTTCAACCCCCAAAGGGGTCGCGACCCACAAGTTGAGAACCGCTGACTTAGGGGATATGATAAATCTTATCCCTCAAGATTCAATTTTGGATCTAATTTCAGAGAAATGAGTATTAAAGGAGAATCTGAAAGTAAAAGCTCTAAGTTTTCAGATGAAGCCATTTGGGTCGATGATGAAGAGAGCATTCAAGGCTCTTAAAAATTATTGGAACTCATCCACAAAGAAAACTAAAGCAAGTTATACTTCAGGAGAGAAACATCAATGATGGAGAAACCAAGATGGCGGCATAGGTAAACACCGGAGTTTGCTGCCTCGAACAACCACTTCAAAAATACAACTAAAAGACGGAACGGACATCACCCAGAACCACAGGAAGGCTGGCTGAGGAGAGACTCTTCAACTAGAAGGAAAACCAACAGCATTACGAGGCTTAGAGGAGGCGCAGTGTGGAAAATTTAAAGGTACGGTGGTGCGGCGGTGCACGCGCAAAGCGGGCTGGTGGCTGAGGGCGCGGTTGTCGTTTTCAATCAGGAGTGAGTCTCAGACTCTGGGCTACAGATCCGGGCGAGTCTCTAGGGACCCTGACTCAAACAGGAGAAGCGGGACTGTCTGGCTACGGTCCCTCCGAGGTTTGCAGCGGTTGCGGGGACAGAGAGGCAGAGCCCCTGGAGACGGACTGAGAGCAGCCATAGCTGCTCCCTCCCCCCGCCCTGTTGAGCCCGCCCCGCCCAAACCCTGCGCAGAGCCATTTGCCGATCGCCTCAGGCAAAGGCTGGACTAGCGCCTCCCCAGAGAACTGAAGTTTTCCACACAGCTGATTCCTACAGCCAGTCGGCCTGGTGGTCAAATCCCTCTAGTGTTAACTACAACAATTAAGGCTTGGCTAGAACAAGACTGCGCACAAAGACCACAAGGGGGTGCACCAAGAAAGCATAAAAGATGCGGAGACAAAAAAACATGACAGAAATGGAGGATATGGAGCTAAGAATCGCAATTTTGAGGGCTTGCTATAAACTTGAGCAGAGCCTCACGAAAACTAATGAGACCCTCGATGCTACGATAAAGAAATTAGAAAGTAAGCATACACGGACTGAAATAAAGAATATTATACCCAATAGCAGACCAGAGGAGCACAAGAATCAAACCAAAGATCTGACAAAAAACACCCAACTGGAAAAGCAAAATGAAAAAAGAATCCGAAAGTGTGAAGATAGTGTAAGGAGCCTCTGGGACAGTTTCAAGCGGAATAATATCAGAATTATTGGGGTGCCAGAAGATGAGAGACAGCAAGATTTTGAAAACCTATTTCAAGAAATAATGGCAGAAAACTTCCCCCACCTGGAGAAAGAAATGGACTTACAGGTCCAAGAAGCGCAGAGAACCCCAAACAAAAGGAATCCAAAGAGGACCACACCAAGACACATCATCATTAAAATGCCAAGAGCAAAAGACAAAGAGAGAATCTTAAAAGCAGCAAGAGAAAGAGACTCAATTACCTACAAGGGAATACCCATACGACTGTCAGCTGATTTCTCAACAGAAACTTTGCAGGCCAGAAGGGAATGGCAAGAAATATTCAAAGTGCTGAATACCAAGAACCTACAACCAAGATTACTTTATCCAGCAAAGCTATCATTCAGAATTGAAAGTCAGATAAAGAGCTTCACAGACAAGGAAAAGCTAAAGGAGTTCATCACCACTAAACCAGTATTATACGAAATACTGAAAGGTATCCTTTAAGAAGAGGAAGAAGAAAAAGGTAAAGATACAAATTGTGAACAACAAACAAGCATCTATCAACAAGTGAATCTAAGAATCAAGTAAATAAATAATCTGATGTACAGAATGAACTGGTGATTATAATGAATCAGGGACATAGAAAGGGAATGGACTGACTATTCTTGCGGGGGGAAAGGGGAATGTGAGATTCGGGAAGAGACTGGACAAAAATCGTGCACCTATGGATGAGGACAGTGGGTGGGGAGTGAGGGCGGAGGGTGGGGCGGGAACTGGAAGGAGGGGAGTTATGGGGGGGGGGAGAGGAACAAATGTAATATGAACAATAAAAATTTAATAAAAAAAAAAGTTATACTTCAGGAGTTTTTTTAAAAGAGTATTTCCCTTACATGATGAAAATAATCATTTCTTTATTTAACCTCTGAAGCCCTCCCCCCCCATCAATGTCCCATATACTATGATAATCTTCAATTTTACCCTCCTCTCCGAAAATACACACACACACACTCTTCTTTATTACCATTAGGTATCTTTCAAAAACACAAATCTGATAACAAAAGTAGAGATCATAACATGAAATAGTATGAATATGACTATGCATACCAAGTACCATGAATAAAAATAAAAGACCAATGACAGATTACATAAATGGTACCACTGATCAATAAGAAATCTTCCTTGATTCCAACGGAAGATTGGGTCAAAGTTATGAGCAAGAAATTCACAAGAGTAACAATAGCAGGAACAACTATATTTGTACTCTTACTAAGTGCTAGTAGAGAATAAGATACTGCCAGATACAGATGCTACTGTAAAGAGCACTTCATAACCCTCTAAGATAGGTATTCTATTAATCCTATTACACAGATGAAAAAATTAGGTTTAGAGATTTGAACCAACTTGTCTAAGGTCTCAACGCTAGTTAATAGCAAAGCCAAGATTCAAATCCAGACAGTCTTCACTCCATATAAGAATTAGTTTATAGAAGTGATGACTAAAGAGAAGAAAAAGAACTTCCAATTAAAGATGGCAGATGGAACACACATATCCATTCCTCCTAAAACGGAACTGAAATGACAATAGAGGATTCTTTAAAGCCCTTCCCTCAAAGGCTTAGCAAATGGTAATTCCTGAGGAGAACAAAGGGTGGGGTTAAAGGCATCAACTCTCTGAGAGTTGAAGGGATGTGCATATATGTACAGAGGTTGGGAGCACAGAACCAAACCCTCCATCCAAAGCATGAAACCAATAGATGATGTTTAAAGCTGCAGAAGCAGGAAGTGGAAATAGATGTGTGTTATCTTGCACTATGGAAGTAAACACAAAAAAGAATCAGCTAGGGGAGTAGGCAGTGAGGAGGAAGGGGTATGGAGTCAGCTATTTTTCAAAATAAGTCTTACAGACTGCTGAATCTTTAAACCAAGTATAGCTCTGATAAAAATAAAATCTAAATTTAAAAGCCATGACATGGGGGGGGGGGCGAATCAAACTCATTAAAAACTCAAGATACACAAGTTTTAAAATATCCCTTTGCCCCTATCTCAGACTAATAAAAAATGCAATGATATTGCTCAATGATGACAAAAATGTGGGCCAATCTGAAGTATCTTACACTGGGGGTAGAATTATAAATGCATAAATCTTTCCAGGAAGCAATTTGGTATTATGTATCAAAAATCTTAAAAGCAGGCATATCCTTTACCCAACAATTCCACCTCTACGAATTTATGTCAATAAGATCATCAAATGAGCACAATATTGTTTATAATAGTAAAAATAGCAAAATGGGAACCTGTAAATTTTTAAAACTATATTTAGTAAAAAATGTTTATGCCACTGTTTTTCTTGGTTATATTATAAAATGTCAATATGCCGTCCTTTGGGGGAAATGTGAATACGTAATATAATGGTTTGAGAAAATAAAAATGCAGACTAGTTTAGATTTTCATAGTAAACTAATGCAATCAGAAGTCTGGGATAATCAACCGTTATATACATACTAGAAGCCCAGTGTGTGAAATTGCGTGGCCCCGCCCACTCACGCAGCCCCACCGTCCTCGCAGCCCTGCCCACCTGCGCCAGTCTTTGGTCATTACAGCGTTAGGGTCACTGGGTTTATATAATATAGATTCTTTATCCTATTTTAGATTTATTAAACTTTGTCAATTCCTCTTTCCCTCTTCTGTTGCCCCCCTTTAAACATTACACTAACACTTCTACAAAAGGGAAAAGAAAGCAAATCAAAAGAAATTAAACACAAACTAGAAAACTTGACTAGTTACTAAGTTGCATTTCCATGAACAGAACAGCTAAGCATGAATTTCTATCATGATTAGGCCAATTCAATGGATGAGCATTTTCTATGAATGTATTTTTTTTTAATATACAGTGGGGCCTTGACTTACGAGTTTAATTCGTTCCATGACAGAGCTCGTAACTCCAATTACTCATATGTCAAATCAACAGTGAACGAGTGAGACACGTGATGCTGGGCTGATATTGTGTGGCATTCACTGTGACGTTCGCTGCGCCAACTAGCGGTGGGGTATCTGAAGCTGGCTCGTAACCCGAATTTTAGCTCGCAACTCAAAGCAAAAACTTGGCTGAGAGACGGCTCGTATCTTGAAAAACTTGTTAGTCAGGACACTCGTAAGTCAAGGCCCCACTGTATTTTTGTTGATTTCAGAAGAAAGGGAGAAGGAGAGATAGAAAGATCAATGATGAGAGAGAATCATCAATCTGCTCCCTTCTGGGGGAACTGAGTATACAAACGGGTATGTGCTCTCACCGGGAATCAAACCATGACCTGGTTCATAGGTCAACACTCAACCACTGAGGTTCACCAGCTGGGCATCTTTGAATGTATTTTATACCAGTCCTTTATTCCTGCTACCAGTCATAGGAGTCAAAACTTATTGACAAAAAATTTAAAATAAAGGCAAAAACGGGAAACAGCATGGAGTTGGGAAGTGATGCAAAGTATCCCAAGAAACATCAGTGTGGCAAACTGAATCATCTCCAGTCTAGAGAATTCCAGGAAACAAAACCTAACCATATAATAGGCTGTATTGGAAATGGATGAAACTGCATCCTAATTTTATTAAAGAAAGATGATATACTTTACTAGTAAGATGATTAGAATAGTTAACGCTAAATCAAATACATGTTCTTTAAATTCCTTTAGAAATTCCTTATCTTAGTATTTTCCCATGGGGAAAAAATTTCACACTATTAATGAATATATTCTAAAAAGAAAGCAAATTTAAAGTCAAATTAATTTTATAAAATACAGTCAAACCTGCTTCTTTGAAGAAATGAAATGGAAATGCCAATCTTTTCTAATATGGAGTTTAAAGACATCCTATATAATAAAAGCCCAGCGACCAAATGGCGGAATGACCAGAACAACCGGTTCACCAGTCGCTATGACGTGCACTGACCACCAGGAGGCAGACGCTTAACGCAGAAACTGCCCCCGGTGGTTAGTGCACTCCCAAAGTGGGAGCGCCACTCGGCTGACCAGGATGAGTGGCGCTCTCACAGAGGGAGCAGCCACTCAGAGGGCGGGTCCACAACTGCTCAGCTGACCGGGAAGGGCGGTGCTCCCACAACAGGCCAATCCCTGCAGGCCACATACCCGACCAGTACACAAATCCTGTGCACCGGGCCTCTAGTTATTTAATAATCTGTATTGTGAAACAGTCATCTTTAGAATAAGAAATAGCATCCTTAAGCTTAAGCCTGCTATAGTTAAATTGTGTTTCATACTGTCTGATCTATTGTTGAGAAGTTATTAAGAATTACACTCAAATACTTCCTTTGGTTTCATTCTGCTTGCTTATTTAGAAATTGCATTGCAAGAACAAGAGTTTGTCCTAAAACACTGACCACAGGGATATCAACAGCTGTCTTGTGTCTGTGTGCAAGTGTATACAAAGTTCCAGGCACCTCTTAAACATGACAGCTGTGTCACTTAGTACTTACATCATACATCATTCTCAAATTCAAAAAATCTATTACATTATTCAAGCCAAATTAAATCAAATTTAATTCTTATTGACTGTATACCCTATCTAATAAAGAGGGAATATGCTAACTGACCCTCACGCCATCACAAAGATGGCGGTGCCCACAGCCAATAAGGAGGGAATATGCTAATTGACTGCCACACCCACCCTCTAAGATGGCAGTGCCCACAGCCACAAGATGGCGGTCCTCTCAGCTCCGCCAGGCGGCGGTGCGCGGCAAGACCTGCCTCCGCGTGCCTGCCTCCAGAGACCCCCAGTCCCCTCAGCCCCTTAGCTGCCCAGGGCCTCCCAAGGCTCAGGTAACCAGGGTCGGCCGAGGCTTGTGCTGCCGGCAGTGGCAGCAGCAGAGTGTGATGGGGCATCGCCTTCCCCTGATCGCCGGGGTCGCCTCCCTCCCCTGAGAGCTCCCAGACTGAGAGGGGGGACAGGCCAGGCTGAGGGTCTCCCCCTCCAGTGCATGAATTTTTATGCACCGGGCCTATAGTCTAATATAAAAAGGTTTCAAAGTTTAAGAGGAAAATTTTAAAAAGGATAAAAGGTGTTTAGATTAAATAATACTCAAGGATACAAGAAAACATCTCTGAGTCCAGATTTATGAAAGAAAATGACAACTATAGCATCTTAAGAAGTGTTTTATAACATTTTAAGAAGACCATTATTTCACTTAAACACAAAAACCGTTAAAAAATCAAGTATCCTCCTGAATTACATTTTTTAAAAGCAGGCATTGTAACTCAGTATTACTCAAATTCAAATAAACAAATCATTCAAAGTTGTTAAGTTTCAAATTCAGCCCCATAAAACAAAATTGACAGGAAACCATTTTCTTGTTGTATATTTTGAAAGATGAACATTGAGTATATATAAATCAACAATTTTAATTTAAAAATTACTTTACTGTTTGTTAGATACCCATTCTCGCCTTGGGAATTAACAACAGCTTCAGTCCTCATAGAGTAAAGTTATCTATTCCAAGCTTTCATTATTAGTTTATAATTCTAAAGCACACCAAGAGTGTTAGGTGGTACCCCACACATTCTGCAACAAACTGAAACAGAAAAATGGAAGGCAGCTCTGCTTTACTGGTGAAACAAGCACAAGAAAGAAGACATTTCAGATACATTCTAAAAGAGAAAAAAGACCTTACTGTGGTTACACAAACCATAGATATTCAAACAAAGATGATATTTGTTGAGGGTAAAACATGTCTTTCAGGCTAGATCCCAAGTATGAACCACACCAGCCTACACCCAGCATTCCATCTAATAACAAACAGGGGCTTTAAACAAGCAGCTTCAGAATATTTCTTACTCTTGTAATTCAAAACTAGCCACATTCTTATTTATTTTACTAAAGTTTGCCATGTAGTAACAAAGAAAATTTTTATTTAAAACATTAAAGCTAAATAGAAATGCTCTCCTCCTCAAATATATTTTATATTGTAACATAATCTTAATGATAATTTTTAAAGTGAAAATTGCTGTTTCAGGCACTGAGCAAATATATGCTAAATTCTGAGATGTTTTGTACTTTTTAACATACCACGCGTATACAAATGAAACATGTTTTATATAACAATATGTATAACTATTGTAGATAGCACAGTGAAATTTTTCTATTCTATTTGTTCTTTCCTCTTCTCTCCATTGCTTCCTTCTTCCTTGTTTTCTTTTAAAAGGGTAGGGACCTACAATTTGAAAAGTAATAGCCAGATTAGAGGCATGCTTATGAACATTAATTACACTGAACTGGACACTATGAATTAAGTTGATGCTCAGCTTAAGTCAGTTGTAACATTCAATATATGCAAAAAAAAAAAAAAGTCTCAGAAGTTTAGAGAGAGGGAAAAATGTCAAGTCATATACCACAGCATAAGAATCAGGCTGGCAGCAAACTTCTTATCAGCTAGAAGATAATGAAGCACTATTGTCAAAGTTCTGAGAAAAAATGATCATGAACTTAGAATTCTATACCAAGCCAAACTATCAATTAAGCATGAGGAAAAAATAAAACCATTTTTAGATATTACAAAATAATGTAAGCTGAAGAATGACCCCCCAACAAATGTCCACATCCGAATCTCTGGAACCTGTGAATGTACCTCATATAGCAAAAGGAATCTACAGATAGAATTAAGTAGGGATCTTGAGATGGGGAGATTATCCTGGATCATGCAGGTGAGCCCAATGTCATCACAAGGCTCCTTATAAAAGGGAGACAAGAAGGTCAAAGGAGCAAGTAGGAGATGTGACAATGGAAGCAAGAGGTTGCAATGATGTGAGGAAGGGAGGAGTCATGTGGCCTCCAGAAGTCAGAAAAGGCAAGGAAACGAATTCTCTTTTAGTGGCTCCAGAAGGAACCAGCCCTGATGACACCTGACTCCAGCCCAGTAAATCTGACCTCAGACTTCTGGCCTCCAGAACTATAAGAAAATAAATTTATAGTTACAAGTCACCAAGTTTGTGATAATTTGTTACAGCAGCAATAAGAAACTAATACAAGAATTCAAAGTTTACTGCCTTGCAATGTTTCTCTTAAGAAGGCTTTGAGAATATACTACAGAAAAACAAAATAACACCAACCAAGAGAATTGACAAAGACTGTCTCCTTGTGCACACATCAACCAGGCTCCACAGAGCCCTCCTTTCAAGTAGGCCCCAAACTTGGTCTCCTGTTCTGTATTCCACCGGCCTAGCCCAATTTTAGCAACAATTCTGCTAAGTCAGTTGAGTGAGAGTCGCCCCCTTCGCCCCGCACAACCCTTGATATCTGATCACCATTGATACCTGGTCAGAATCCTCATTCCCCACCCTTAATATTTGATCAATCTTGATATCTGGTCAGATTCCTCACCCACCACCTTTAATATCTGATGACCCTGGCCTGCCTTTATCAATAATCCTGTTAAATCGATTTAGGAAGAATCTCCCTGTCCTTGATGTCTCCTCTTAGTAATTGTGCATCCACCAAATTCTTCGCTTTGCTTGTTGGCTATAAATCCCCACTTGTCTTTATTATATTTGAAGTTGAGCCCAACTCTCTCCCCTGTTATTATAGTTTTGATACCTGATGCAATATTCCTGGGTAAAGATTTTTTTACTGTTAACAAGTGTCATAATAATTTTTCTTTAACAGATAAAAAAGAGGGGCAGACACAGGATCCATAAAATCTCAGGAAGCTAAAATTAGACATTTCCAGATGCCAACTGTGTAATTGCCTAGAGCAGTGGTCGGCAAACTGCGGCTCGCGAGCCACATGCGGCTCTTTGGCCCCTTGAGTGTGGCCATGAAGTTTCAATTGCACTGTACGTGTGCGCCCGCATGTGGTATTTTGTGGAAGAGCCACACTCAAGGGGCCGCAGTTTGCCGACCACTGGCCTAGAGAGTAACCAGCCTATATTAGAATAGGAAACACAAAGTTTCTCAATAAAAATGTGTATTCCAGACAACATAGATCCTGGATATTATTAATGATACAGTAAAAGCTTACATATAAAAAACACTTAAAGAAGATGAGGGGACTATTAGAAATCTCATAACAAGCAAAACAGTGTTAAGTCAATCAAATATGACATAATGTACAAAGGGGCATGGCTGTGAATCTGATGGTATATGGAAAAAGAGAGTTCATTTTTCAATATTAGGATTATATTTCCTTCCTATATACCTCATCATAATATTTGAGGTTGAGGTAAATGATATTAACATTATTGTTACAATATCATTAATATGATTATTGAACTCTGATCTGCACAAATACACCCCACTCCAAACCTAACCCTCCACCCTAGAAGCAGCCACTTTTACCTACCAAAAGCACTCTCCACACCACACTCAGATCTGCATGCATGCAGGCGCACACACATATATTTAAATCTCTCTCTTCTGTTCAAACACTAGAATCATCTTATAAGTAATCCAACACCTTACTCTCTTTTGTCTAACAGTACATCTTGGAGATTGTGCACTTCAACACCTACAGATCTCCCCAGTGGTGTGCCAATAAGGGTTTAGCAACTTCCATGCTGTGGTATTCCCCTATGATGGCCAATACCAAGCTACCAAGGTGATGTCACTGAACAGAAAGTTCAGCTGGTTCCAATACATCAGTGTTTCTACCTCAACCTTCTTGATAGTTGTAAAATTTCCCGACACATTAACATAATTTATTCAACCAATCCTCTCTTAGGAATTTGAACTAGGATAAACTGAGAGAGTCCACTTGCAATGGGAGTTAAATGAAACATCAGGAGGTAAAAAGCACAATAGTCAATAGTGACCAAGACAGCTGAAAAAAATGAGAAAGCAGAAATGACCAGTAAGCTGAGAAAAAGCAGCTGTTGCAGAGAGGAAAATAGTACCTAATATACAGAGCAAAGCAGAGTCATCACTAGAGAGACCCTTTTGCCTCAAAAAGAGTCAGCCCAGCCCTGAAGCCGCTTTATGCTTCAGTTCCTGGTAGCTTTCATTTCAAGTTCAATGTATTCACATGGCACATACTCATTTCCTGAAGTAATTTGAATAAGTTATTCATGTCTGTGATTTGAGTTCCTTAATTCCATCTCATCTTTCAACCAAAAGAGGGTCTATGAATCAACAGTACCTAAGCAACGGTTTCAGTTATTTGGATTACTTCCTCAATATAACACTAAGATATATCAACAATAAAGATTCTTTAATTTGGCTCAAATAAACTCACAAAAATTCAAAAAAAAAAAGATTCTTTAAATTGTAAAATCTTAGTAGGCACCACTACTAAAACTTCAACGTTTATTTTGCTGTGCTCTAGATCCAGGCTGAAAGGAATGCTCAGAGGAGAAATAAGCAGAATTAAGCAGATCAACTACAAAATACAACTAAAAACAAACAAAATAAAGGAAGGTGCTACAGTCATAAGATAACTCGAAATACTGCTTATTTTAACAGGCCATTCTGTGCAAGATGAAATTAAATATGGGCACCTCAAAGTTACATATACCTGGTCCCCTCCCCCGCAAGAAAGCTTATTCTTAAATAGCGTCCTGGGATACTGAAGAAGCCTAAGCCAAAAGCACCATCTGTGTTACTGTGAGAAAAACTGATCCAAAATCTCCTGTCCCTTTATTCCCTCCTTTGGGGTGGAAGTGGGGGTGTCTATAATCTAGTGCTCCTTTGCACTCCAGCCCAGTCCCATTTCTATCTCTCATAACTCCGTTAACTCTATGTTAAACAAATGTCTTATCAAAAAGTGCACAACCTCAAAAACCCTTTTTTCTCCTTCCTTTCCCCACAGTGTAATAATCTTAGAAAACTCACCTGGCTTCCTTCCCTCTTTCTCATGTTCACTTGGTAACAACACAACAAAAGATTCTCATCATAGCTGCCATTATAAAAACAGTATAAATAATCATGATCAAGGAGGGGAAAGCCAAAGGTGAAAGCTAAATGCATGAAAGAACCAATGCCATAAACCCAACAGTCTTCAAAGATGCTATCTTGAAACAGAATTTTTTTAAAAAAATATAAAGGCCTAACCGGTTTGGTTCAGTGGATAGAGTATCAGCCTGCATGCAGACTGAAAGGTCCCAGGTTCGATTCTGGTCAAGGGCATGTACCTTGGTTGCGGGCACATCCCCAGTAGGAGGTGTGCAGGAGGCAGCTGATTGATGTTTCTAGCTCTCTATCCCTCTCCCTCTCTGTAAAAAAATCAATTAAAAAAAAATATATATATATATATATTTTAAAAAAAACAATAAAAGATATGAGAAAGCTAAGAATCTTTGGCAAAGATTCTTACTTTTTGCAGTGAATGTATATCTGGAAAATAGTATATAAATCCAATTTTAAAAACAAATTGATATATTAAGTACTTAACTGATTAATTCACATTAATAATTAATTTTGAGTAATTTTTCTTATCGTTTTAAGAAATATTTAGTGAGCATTTACCATGTGCTAGACACTATGATAGATCCTAGAATATAGATATCCCTTCACTGCAAAAAGTACACCTTTGCCAAAGATTCTTAGCTTTCTCATATCTTTTATTTGTTTTTTTAATTCTATTTCAAAATAGCATTTAAGATTCTATTGAGTGTAAAATTCAGATATGAGAAGTCACGATCTATTTCTAACACTTCTGATTATTTACTAATCCTTCATATCCATTAAGGAATGAATGGATGGATAAATAAGCAGAGGCAAACAGATGGAGATGAAGGAGTGAATGTATGCTTGTCAGGGGCTCTTAAATGATGCAGAAAACCAGAACTTGTCTGTTATCTCTACATTCTAATCCACTCTTCTCCACGTGCTTTCCCTTTACCTAGTTTCCAATCTACTCACAGAATTTCACAGTCTCTCTTTCTGTTCTGGAAGGTCATGTTGACCTGGCTGTGTGCTTCCATCAGGCTTCAAGTAACTCTGAACTCTCTCCCCACTCTTCCCTTACTCCTCTCACGGGGCAGGAGTTGGGGGGTCAAGGAGTCTGAAAGGAGCACCTGAGCAAGGCTGAGGCCAAGCTCCAGCCCTTCTCTCTCAGCCACCCTGTCCCTGCGTGCAGGCCCTCTGCTCTGCTCTCCACGTAGGAAGGCAGCTGTCCTGAGGGGAGGCCTAGGGTTGTTTTTCTGGGGGTAAGTCTGTCTAAGTCAAGACGAGGTAAATAAACCCTTTCACTTCAGAT